GATTCTCCACCAATTGCATTGTTCGGCCATGTTGATCGTTTTCCGATGGGACGAGTGACCGCCCTAAAGATCCCAACTGCCGTCGAGCTGCCTGGGCAACAATTCAAAAGTTAAATCCATCAAATCCTGATCCCGCTCATAATGGCATGCAAATGATCACATGTACAGTCAAAATATGTCAATGTCACACCATTAAAAGAGCAGGGCTTGAGACAGTGGCATATATAGCCACCAACCATCCTGATACCTTTGTTGCAACTTTTACCGACTCAGCATTTGCCGGTCGCATTGTTGAAGACTTGGCAGATGAAAGCGTTTTTACTCATCCCCATGGCTTTGCTCACGCAGATCTGATCTTTAAGTTGCGTAGATTTCGTCGACCCTTGTACCATAGCATTTGAAAAGTCAAATCCCACAGGTCATTGGCAGAAGCTACCTCTCGTCAGGATTCAGAACAAGTATTAGGCAGCACTGTAGCAGACGAAGCCGCTAAATCCGCCCGCACCGAAGGTGCTGAGGCGCTGTAAAGGATTCGAAGAAATCAACAAGCCGGAGTAAACCGGAAGCTGCTAGATAAACAGCTTAAGCTTTAGCTTGGGGAGGGTCTAGAATCTAGAACGTGGGCTTTTGAGGTTTTGAAAATGGACACAAGGTGATATCGTGTGTATGATTGTCCGTGTGGCTTCGGACGTAAACGTTCACGATGCCGGCTACGCAGCCCGGGGGAACCTGCACTATAGACACCGTGGGTGTGCTCGTCCGTGTATCCTGCCCGACCGAGACCGATACAGACATACACTGAGACAGACAGAGACATACAGAGACAGACAGACCGAGACAGACAGACTGAGACAGACAGACCGAGACAGACAGACCGAGACAAACAGACCGAGACAAACATACCGAGACAGACCGGCTCTGACAGCACAAGTTGCTGCTTCCCGCACCAATAACCAACCCGTATCCTTGTATCTTCGTGGGGTGGTACTGATACATGTACCCATTTCATCTGTGCGGGCGGCTTCCCCTGCGAAGCGATGTGAATAGAAACAAGGACGAATTGCCTGTACTAGAAGAAGCAGCTGATACGTTTTACCATCACACTCGACTGCAGTTAGAGGCCCTGACGACTGCACACAAATACTTCATTGACTTGGATGGGCTACACTCTGTGCTTAAAATTGAGAAAGAATCAAAGTCCACTCAGCTTGACCAGCTGCAGACCGTGGATTTCTACGCACAAGTTCGTACCAAACTTGCCCAGTGGGATGTGGGGGTACCAAAATGGCAACTTTCGCTTGAATTGCATCCTGCAGCCGAACACGCCTCAGTCATACTGGGGGAGAGAGGTTACACGCAAAGTTTGGAAATTGTTTCAGACGTTGAAATGGCCATCCCCAGAAAAGCCCCTGCCCAGACAGGACTATGGGATCACTTGGTATGAACTGGTGGTGTTACGCATGATCCACTATGGAGATGTCCTTCCTGTATGGATTCATGATAACAACAAGAGATATCCAATCCCGTATGAGTATCAGTCTGAGGAAGCTCAGTTACTCCCACCGATTGGGCATAGATTCAAACAACAACAAGCAACTTGAGGAATGGTGTATTTTTCCTTGAGCATACCACGCGATGCCATCTATTCCCACGTTATAAAAAGACGTGAACTTCTTCATTGGTGCATCTTCGGTTCCATAGAAGTCTAGTCAGAGGCATTCGAGCACGCCCGCAACTTCCCTACCAAGATTTGGTCGTATCCTTAATATCTGATTGCGCTAAACAAGAAGGACAAAAAAATCCCAGCCAACGTTCATCTCCCAATGGCACCTGGACCAAAAAGAATCATATACGTGGTCCCCAATTTAACCGAGCACCCTTTTCGAACGCCCACAAGCTCTTCAAAGACAAGTTAAGAAGCTTGTGAATCGAAAAGTATATATTGGATAATTTTCTGCTTCCGGATGGAGTGCAAGAGCGAAAAAGTGGAAGAAGCAGAAAACACTGTAAAACACACGATTCCTGTGGGGTCGGCGGTAGGGGCGGGACTCCACTCTCTCCTTCGGAGAGGAGAGATGCCTACGGCAATGACACGGCCATGGCGGGGCCCCGTGGGCCCCTGGCCGGATATACGCTCGCCGCCCCTGCCGCCGACCCTTTTGTTCGACCGCGGGCGGACCTCCGCCCGACCCCCGCCCGAATCCGGTCGACGGAGTTATATGTATGTCAAATGTATCTTGCGTAGGATGTTCAAAAACAGCAGTTTTTTACAGTGTTTTGTTGCCTTCGGCGTCCACGACTTTCGCCTAACAGGGCGCCCGTGGTGTCGGTTATGCGTGCCGCGCGGACAGGCTTAATCGACATTTCGTGGGTGTTGGGCACATAAATTGCTTAACATATCCCCAACATAGGCCCAAGATAGCCAACATATCCCCAACATAGCCTCCAAGATGGCTCAACATAGGGCCAACATAGGCCAACATGGGGCCAACATACGCCAAACATAGGCCCAACATAGGCCCAACCTAGGCCAACATAGGCCTAACATAGGCCGACCTAGGCCCAACATAGGCTCAACTTGAGCCCAAGATGTGCCCAACATAGACCACATGGGCTCAACTTGGCCCAACCTAGGGCCAAGATGCGCACCAGATAGCTTAACTTTGCTCAATATAGGCCCCACCAAGTCTCAAAGAGAGAGAGAGGACCCAGCCCTGCACATACCCAAACCCAAATAGGCCGGCGCCCGGCTGTCAGGCGTAAGCCTCATAAATCCGGGCGCCGGCCACGAAGCCCGTGGCATGCCCGGAGGGCCTTCGGTGGTAACCGAAGGTTATAGACGGGCGCACCGGCTGCCGCCGACCCTCGGGACCAAAACGGGCGGACCCCGTCGTCACTTCCTGTTCACTGAAGTCGCTGTAATTTACAGTGCATCGTGTGTGTGAGGTATAAAAAGCACTGTGTTTTACAGGGTTTTGGGCTCCTCGGCGGCCGAGAATTTCATCTTGGCGATGTCAGAAAGCGTCGGTTTTTTCATGGTTTTTACTTTGCGGGAAGGAAAAAATCGTAAAAAGTTGTCTCGGAAGACTTTTTCTACAGAAATTCTCTCAAAAATCCCCAACATAGGCCGCAGCTAGCCAACATATCCCCAACATATGCCCAACATAGCCTCCAAGATGGCTCAACATAGGGCCAACATAGGCCAACATGGGGCCAACATACGCCAACATGGGGCCAACATAGGCCCAACCTAGGCCAACATAGGCCTAACATAGGCCAACATAGGCCCAACATAGGCTCTACATGGGCCCAAGATGTGCCCAACATACACCACATGGGCCCCACTTGGCCCAACCTAGGGCCAAGATGCGCACCAGATAGCTTAACTTTGCTCAATATAGGCCCCACCAAGGCCAACGTGGGCGTGACATACGCCCCACAGACCCAAGTGGGCCGGCGCCCGGCTGTTAGGCGTAAGCCTTTAAATCCGGGCGGTGGCCAGGAAGCGTGTGGCATGCCCGGAGGGCCTTCGGTGGTAACCGAAGGTTATAGACGGTCGGCCTCCCTGCCGCCGACCCTCGTCACCAAAACGGGCGGACCCCCTCGTCACTACCGGGTCACTGAAGTCACTGTAATTTACAGTGTTTTTTGCATGCGATGTTCAAAAACCTCGTGTTTTACAGGGTTTTGGGGCCCTCGGCGGACGAGAATTTCGTCTTAAGAAACGTAAGTTTTTCATGGTTTTTGCTTCACGGGAAGGAAAAATTCGTAGAAAGTTGTCTCGGAAGATTTTTTCAACATAAATGGCCTCACAGGTCCCCAACATAGGCCCAAGATACCCGACATATCCCCAACATATGCCCAACATAGCCTCCAACAGGTCTCAACATAGGGCCAACATAGGCCAACATGGGGCCAACATACGCCAACATAGGCCCAACCTAGGCCAACATAGGCCTAACATAGGCCAACATAGGCCCAACATCGGCTCAACGTGGGCCCAAGATGTGCCCAACATAGACCACATGGGCCCAACTTGGCCCAACCTAGGGGCAAGATGCGCACCAGATAGCTTAACTTTGCTCAATATAGGCCCCACCAAGGCCAACATAGGCGTGACATACGCCCCACAGACCCAAGTGGGCCGGCGCCCGGCTGTTAGGCGTAATCCACACACCACCCAAACGCCCGTGGCATGCCCGGAGGGCCTTCGGTGGTAACCGAAGGTTATAGACGCTCGCCCCCCCTGCCGCCGACCCTCGCCACGAAAAACGGGGGGGACCCCCTGGTCACTTCCGGTTCACTGACGCCCCTGTAATTTACAGTGTTTCGTGCGTGTGAGGTATAAAAACACTGTGTTTTACAGGGTTTTGGGCCCCTCGGCGGCCGAGAATTTTATCTTGGCGATGTCAAAAAACGTAGGTCTTTCCATGGCTTTTGCTTTGCGGGAAAAAATCGTAAAAAGTTGTGTCGGAAGATTTTTTCAACATAAATTGCCTCCTAACATATCCCCAACATAGGCCCAAGATAGCCAACATATCCCCAACATATGCCCAACATAGCCTCCAAGATGGCTCAACATAGAGCCAACATAGGCCAACATGGGGCCAACATACGCCAACATAGGCCCAACATAGGCCCAACCTAGGCCAACATAGGCCAACATAGGCCAACATAGGCCAACATAGGCCCAACATAGGCTCAACATGGGCCCAAGATGTGCACAACATACACCACATGGGCCCCACTTGGCCCAACCTAGGGCCAAGATGCGCACCAGATAGCTTAACTTTGCTCAATATAGGCCTCACCAAGGCCAACATAGGCGTGACATACGCCCCACAGACCCAAGTGGGCCGGCGCCCGGCTGTTAGGCGTAATCCACACAAAAATATTTTCTTAGCTTCTCACGTTCAAACTCTGCTTGTCCTGCGCTCACAACAGTTTTTTGTGTTTTTGACACGGTGTCTCTTTGGAGTTTCTACCTCTCAGTCTCAGACTCTTTGGAGCATGCCTTCGGAATCAATTCGGATCGTCAGCTTTCCTTCGTCCGGCTCCACCTATTACGATCTTGAATGTCATCGCTTCTGGCGCTAAGCCAACCGGTCACTGACACTAACAAATGCAAAGCTCTGAAAGACGGGCAATGCTCAGATCACAACCTTGCCTGTGTAATGAGGAACGCACCACGAATCCAATGCTCATAGCTGCTGCTGTGCCTCCATTCTTGCTGTTTGCGAGAACCCAAGGAGACTTAACATGAGCCAAGTAGTCGACCCTTCAGGGGCTCTTACTTCACTTGTCCCCTCTGCCCTCTTGTAGAAGACTGACTTCCGATCGTGCCTCAACATCGGTGGCATTGTAGCTAAACTTCTCTCCAGCTCTGTTGAAAATGCTTCATGCGAAGCAATGACACACCTGGAGTAGACGGCCCAGACCACCGCCCAAACGGAAAAACAATGTTTAGGGCGAGGTGGGCAGTGAAGAGGAAGGGTCGTAGGGTATGCCAAGCAGAGCAAAGGAGGAGGCTACATGGTAAGATGCCGGCTTATTATATATATATATATATAGTAGCAAGGACAAAGTAGAGCCATTCCTGTCAAAAATCACGTTTGTTTAAGAATCATTCTTTGTACTGAGCCCTTTGCCCCACATCGATGAGAGCTGCAATCCTGAGTCCAGCTCTACTTGAGAGGGCAGAGTGAACAAACAGCTTGCAGTGATTATAAGAGAACACACTTAAACTTAAACCATTGTCAGTTCACAAAGTACCTGGTTTCTGGTGTGAAAGTAGAAGGGACACAGCATACATTTATGTGCCAGAAGTATAAAGCAAAAAGCTAGTGGATTGCCGGAGTCTCCTTGGTCCTGATTGACCGCCAAGGTCCTAGTGAATACGGTCAGAACCTTGTGTTTGATCTTTGAGCAAGTCCCTTGTTGCTTTGCGTTGTTTTGAGTGTGTTACTCTGTTACACCATACATGGATTGATGATTGAAGTGTTATCGTCTTGGTATGTGTTGATTGAGCCCCTTCACGCTTTCCGTCTGTTCAACAACATCCCAGAAATCAAAGTTTGGCCCTCAAGTTGTTATGCCCAGCTTCCGTTAATATTGACTGAATGCAGTGCATATGAAAGATGCACGCACGTGTCAATTGCTCAGGTAAAGAAACTTCAACGAGCTAAAGCTACAGTGTTTCAGCCAGCTCTGATGATATGAAACTACCAACAAAACCAAATATCTACCAAATTCGAAACGAGCACAGAAAAGTGCCAACAACACTAACACAGAGCCCGGGTTGACCATTCGTTCCAAAGCACACAGGTCGACCAAGTCAAAATGATTCTGTGAATCCCAAGAACCGCAGCAAGCCCCCAAGCAAGAACGGACTCCCTTTTCAGCGGACACGTAACCCCCATTTGGAGTACAGGTTCCTAGCTTGGTCTTGGGTCGAGCGATGCCGGTGTATCACAATTTCACACCGGCACAACTTCTTAGCGGCAAAGCGAGACGATCAAGACATCGTGCTCTGTACATTGTCTTTCGTGACCGTCTTCCGAGAGTGACCACATGCCGGTGTTGCAAATCATTCGGAGGAAGTCGGAACACATACGTTTAGTGAGGGGGTCAGCAACCATGTTGTCTCCTGCTACCCACCTCAGTGTTCCGCCAGACCGGCAGAGATCATCCTTGAGGATGGCGACATCGATGGCTGTCCTTTTGTCTTCCACTTGGGCGTAGGTGCAAACCAACTTGTTGATGCAATCGTAGAGGGAACGGGAATCAACCACTGACACGTAGGGAATTGATGCCAGGTGTCTTTCCCAGAACAGGAGATACCTGCGCCAATGGATTTGGCCGATTCCTTGGATCAGTGCTTGGCATTCTGCACTGAGTGTGTTTACTGTTTTTCTTTTCAACCTTGAGGACTTCCACGAAGTCACTGAGACCATGTGTGGCTGGCTTTCACTCTCCATGCGCTTGTCGAAGAACATGAGGACATAGCCACCTTGACTGCTGCAAGTCAGCATCTTAAGGAAGCAATCGCTGATGTGGGAGTGTTCCAATTCATGACCGGGAAGCTGCTTAGTGATTATTGTTTGTCCAGTCCGTGGTTGTGAATCCCAGGTGGTGGCGCTGTTTCCTCTTGTCCAATCGTCCTCCTTGGTGTTTCCGAGGCTGTTCACTGTCCGTCGTCCTGGCTGGAGATCGTGAAGGTCAGGTCCTGGTGTAGCTCCTGGATGAAACAAGGTTCTTCGTGGTGTCAAGTGGTGACGGATCCAATGTTGAGTTTTCTCTTCCCAGTAATCAGGACCATCTTTTTCGATCTGGTCTTGACTTCTCGCGTTAGACCAGGAAGCGTCAGTGGCGACGCCGACTCTCAGGTTGCCTGGAGCAATGGGAATGATCCGGATGCCGCTCGTGGCATGCTTCTTGGCCTCCTGGGTGATGGAGTTGGCCTCAATGATGTCCTTGATGCGTGGTCGTGGAAATACTTGTTGAAGTAGTGCCACTCTTCCAGCAATGTCCGGTCTGCTCTCCTTGGCCAACCATGCGAGGGCTCCGACACTGGCTCGTAGACTTGACACTTCTTTGTCATCGCAGAATGAGAATCTTCTTTTCTTTCTGCTTTTCTCGAGGTGGATTTCGAAGAGTTTTTCCTGTACATAGTTTTCTTGGTTCACCGTGATGCTCTAGTCATCGTGCTGGGTGAAGAGCTTGCCGGTGAACTTTCCTGTGCCGTACTGGAACTTGCCAAGCTTGTACTTGGTCTTGATCTTGTTCATGGCCTCTTCATGGTCATGATCTCCTCCGTGAAGAAGGTCGTCAGTGGCTACCGCTATGATCCCACTCAGCGGTTCTTTTCCTGTTTCTAGATTGGTCTTGAGCTTGTAATAGATGCACGGGTCGGCCAATGACTGTTGGTAGTTGAGGTCGCCAACGAGGAACTTCCGGAGGTGGTTGTACCATGCAAGTGGCCCATCTGTAAACCTTTCCAGTTTGAGCAGTTGACCAGGATTCATGCCTGGGATGCCTTCTCTTGGTTGAGTGTACAGGAGTCTCTCGTTGGATCTCCAGAATGGAATGCCTGGGTGAAGTCCAGAAAGCCAAGCCTCCACTGGAAACTGGAGACTAGTTGGGCGACAGTGAGTGTGCCTTCTCGGGTCACTTGTGGAGTGGTTGCCTCAATGTTTTCAGCGCCTTCTTTGCTGAAGCCTTTCATGACATGACGAGCCTTTGCCTTGCATGGTTCGTCGGTATCCCAGTCCAGAAGAATTTCTTCCTCTTTGGCTTTTTCGGTTTGGGTGTGAGGACTAGCCGACTCTCCATGACTTTGTTCGGCATAGTTTGTCTGACACGAGCTGATTCCTCGGGGCTGACAATGGTGTAGGCACCGATGTTGATGTTGTTCTGGATCTCTTTTCCAATGGCGTTCTTGAAGCATTTTTGGTTGCGGAGGTTGAGTTCTTGTAGTCGAACTTCTTTTCGTTGTCTTCCTTTAATCTAGTTCTCCACCTTGAGGAGGTAGGTTTCGAGATATTCTAGCCGTGATCTTTTGCTGGGGTGTTCATCCAATTCTTCTTCATCATGTGCTCTCTTTTCTCGTTCATGTTCAGGTTCTGGAGGTTGGTTGGAGAACTGCTTCATCTTGTTGATGGTCTCTTGGTTGTTTGTCGTCAGGTACTGCAGGAGGTGGTTCTCTGTCATCATAAACCAGTTCATCTTGTGGTCCCTTCTCTCGATAGCGTTTCATGGGTCTTGGATATCCGAGAGGTTCTTGGAGTCCTGGTGGTAGTACTGGTTCCATTGGAATGTCTTGATCAGGTGCTTCGTCCGGTTCGGTTGGGGTGTACTCTTCATGGTTGTTCTCATCGTCAAGGATCTCTGGGAGCGGTTGGTCGGACAGGTCCAGGAAACCGCGAATCGGTTCCGTGGCGATGTCCTTCTTCAGCTTTACGAGGTCTTCCAGCCATCCTGACAGTGCCATGTTTTCTTCCAGTGAAGCTCTCCTGATTCGTTCGGGGCTGGCCTTGACAAGTTGGGACTGGTATGGTAACCAGATAGTGCTGGGCTGGTCGATCATGATGATTCTTGCCGGTCCATGCCAGTAACATGGCTTGAACTTTAATTTCTTGTCGGCTCCCATCCGGAAGAAGTAGACGATCTCGCCGATGTCATACTCGAGGACAGGTCGTGGCCCTGAGGCTACTGCTCTTCGGAGAGAGTTGCTGGCGTCTGCTTCGATAAAGGCGTGCGCTGCCGCCTTTCGAAGTTTCATTGATCGTTCGATACTGAGATCGCCGACCTTGATTTCTGGTTGTTGTCCTCGATGGCCGTCGTCTCCACTGAGAAGGCCTCCGGGCAAAAAGGGGTTGAAGCCTAACACCCGTTGGCTGGGACTGAAGCCTCCGACGTTCATCATTCGATTTTTGGTCATCATAGTGACGTCGACCATTTCTTCCCATTTCTTCATGTCGGCACAGCTATAGGTGTCCATGGTCTTCTGGAGGAGGTACTTAAAGGTCTTGCCATGACGCTCGGTGATGCCTCTTTGATGTGGGGCTTCAACTGCGGAGGGATCAACAAAGGTTCCATCCTGCTCTGCTTGTTCGGCGAATGTCCCTCTGAATTCACGTCCTAGGTCCAGTGCCATTCTTTTCGGAGGACCGAATAGCCGGAGCCAATGTCGGTAGGCTTCTCGGACGTGACTTGGTTTCTTGTTGTCCATGGGGATCATGAGTTGAAACTTACTTGACCAGTCGATGACATTCAAGGCTGGGCGTGACCTGCTACCAAGCGTCGGCAGGAAGATGACGTCCACTCCAATGCATTCATTAAATGCCAGTTCCTTTGGCGGTGCACTTCTCCGAGCAGGTTTCACTTGGGAGTGTCGTTGACACACACTGCACCGAAGGTGTTTGGCAGCTTCGATGACTTCGGGTTTGGCCTTCGCATACCGGAGGATCCTGACGAATCTGTCTGATGTCGGGTGGCCCAAGCCTACATGCGCTCGGTGGAGAAGGCGTTCCATGGGAAAACGTGAGTGTAGTGGTAGTGGTTGTTCTGGGTCTTCCTGTGCCTCGCCTTCTTCATGTTCATCTTCTGGTTGTGGTTCCCCATCATCCTCTTGGTTCCCTGGTTCATCAGATTCACGAGGTTCTCGGTTCTCTTCGTTGACGAGGATCTCGGCCGTGGCATAGTCCGGTAGGTCAGGTAGGCGAGAATCTGGGTCGTCAAGAACTTGAGAATCGGGGTCTTGGCATTCAGTGTGACCTGCAGGTACTTCCGGTTGTAGGTCCCTCAAGGCCCGGAACTCGGTGTCAATGAGGTAGTTCAGCCGGCGATTCTCGGCCAGCATGCTCTCAGAGCTGACCACTTCCACATGGTCCACGTTGATGGACTGGCTGTAGGCCTTCAAGATGGCCGATCGAAGTTTCTCCGGGTAGACCGTCGACCTGTAATCGTTGAGACCGGTTGCCGCCAATGATGACTTCGTGTTCGTGGTTGCCAGGGCAAAGCTTACATAGAGCTTGAGCAATGGCTTCTGAGTTCGTGGCGAACCCGGTTCTTTTTCTTTGAGGAAGGCCTGACTGACCCTGCAGCCCATACTGGCATTGGTCAGCCTTGGTGTAGATGACATTCGGTCGATCCAACAGCCGCTCCATGGCACAGTGTTTCCAGGAGGAAGCGGCATGTGGATGTTCAAATATGAACTTGATCCCGAGGTCGTCGCAGAGTTCGCACAACCGAATGGCAAAAGTCAATAACCTGTCACCTTCTGCCTTGTTTTTCAAGTATCGTTTCATGAGATCAGGCAGTCGGGCACGTTTCTCTTTGGAGAGGTTTTGCAGCTGGGTGTACATTTTACACGGTGGTGCAATGCAAACAAGTCCTGGTTTGGTGGTTTTGACATACTGCATGACTTCGTTTTGTTTGTCTTCATTCAGCAAATCATCTCCTAGACTCAATCGAATGCGCGACCGGGAGACAACTGAAAACGACCAGTAATTTTCTGAAAACAGCCAGGATTGTACACTTCGGCCACAGTCTTAAGTTGTTTAACTGTCAGCCCCATGACTTCTGCAATCTCACGAGATCTTTTTGCGCCGGCTGGATTCATAGTGAACTCCTGGCAAATTTCGTCATTTAAGGCCTGAGCCCAGTGCTGCAAAGGCGTGTCAGCCAACAGCAGTTGAAGCTCTCGCCAAAAAGCCGTCGCCTTCTTAATGGCAGATCGAAGCTTCCGTTCTAGCTTCGGGGTAACCTGTCTCACTGATCCTCCCGTTTCGGAGGGCGTCGTTGGCTTTTCCAACGAAGGTATTCTTGAAATTCCTGGTAGTCGGTCAGGTGCTCCAGGTCGGCGCCGTCCGAGGTAGTCTGGGGAGTCACCGGAGAGGGAATCCCCTGGCGGGATGGTGGAGCCGAGCTCGAGGATGTCGTGCTGGCCTTGGACTTGTTCCCCTCTTCCATTTTCCCGATCCTCTCGGACTTGATGACCTTGTTGCAGGTGCGACAGGTGACCTTGGTGAGAAAGGCGTTCGATCCCTTTCGATGTGTCTCCTTGTGTTGGCATTTGGTCTGGATCATGGCCTCCAGGATCTGGGTGTAGACACTGGAGGGCGCAATGACACCTCGGGCGTGGTTCCAAGATCATCTCGATACCTGGTGGACTGTTGATCTGCCGACACCTTTCGGTGAGAACGGGATCCGGAGGAGGTCGTGGTCGACGAGCTGGATGAGTGCTGGTCTCGCTGAGGTTGGATCAATGTCCATCTTCCTGAGGTCGATGGCCGGTGTCTTCTCGTCGATTCATCTCCTGGCGGGCCACATTCTGGATCATCGTTCGTCTGGTAGGGCTCGGATCATCTCTTTCAGGGCCTCTCGATGTGGCTTGGTGCTGAGCATGTGGTCCATGAACCTTTCCAGCATCTGTTGAAGAGGCATCAGGACCAGTAGAAAGCGTCTCATCAAGCGGAACCACGATTGAAGGACTCGATGTTGTTGAAAGTCTTCTTCCTCGGGAGTTGGACTGGCCCGAACACGTTTCTGGCCCGCGGTCTGCATGGCAAGCGGCTGAGTTCCACGCAGCCGTCTTGCAATTTCAAGACCTCAAACTCGACCGAAGTACTCTGGTTCATCGAGTTTTGTTCTCGTTCAAGTGCATGTTTTTGCACCTGGTTGTATTGTTGAAGTGGAATTCGTAAAGCACCAGTTGGACCAAGTTCGGGAGTTCCTCGAAGCCGTAATTGGAGGCCTTGTTCATGACAAAGGATAACTTCTCCATGACAATGGAGTAGGAAGCTGAGTGAGATGAGGAAGGGCGCACCAGAGCTTTCCTCGTTTTCAAAGACGGCAGGCTTCAAGAAGCTTCCCTTGGTACCCAAAGAACATGGGATGGTGGCAACCTTGGATGTGACTGATGTCTGATGCACGCTCCTGAACCTATTCGTTTCGGGAGTGAGGATGATCTTCAGGGGTTCAGGGAGATGTTGAGCGAACTCTCGAAGTGTTCGTGCACCGATGGCAAGCCGTTGGCATCCTGTGTCGAAGGTGGCGCAAGTCGCGTCCACCATGTCATGAGGTTGGGGAGACTTGGAGACGAGGTTGCAAAACATGTTTTCGAAAACAAACAAATGTTCAACCGGTCGGACGAAAAAGGTCACTCTCCATGTATGCCGACGCGGACGGGCGTTCAGCATCCGTGGCATAGTCAGCCTTTGGCTGCCAGGTCCTACCGGCCGGGCTCAGGGGAGTAGCCACTCCATGCCGCTCAGTACTGGTAGAAGACCTCGTGGCCAGGTTCATGGCGTCGGACTCCATGATCATCAGGTCATGCTCGAAGTCCGGCGTGTCCTCGGCAAGATGTCCAATGAAGAAGGCCTCATTGGTGTTCTCCAGGTAGTGACTTTCGTTGGTCTTGAGGTCCGGGTTCTTCTGGGGCGGATTCTTGCAGTCTCGCTTCCAGTGCCCGATCTGGCCGCAGTTGCGGCAGCGGGTTCTCTTCTGCAACTCGGCGATGGTGACCGAGTACGAACCTGGTCGAAGTGGTCGGTCCCGGAAGGGTCCTCGATCATGTCCTCCGGGAGGTGGTCGCTTTCCGTAGCCACGGGCCAGTTCTCTGGCCTTTTTATTTTTGATCGATTGGGTGTAGGTCTTCTTCTGCTGCACGTAGGTGGAGAGGATCTCGGCGGCCTCACCTTCACTAAGGACCGTGTCGCCGTCGACGTCGTCCTGGAGGTGCATGATGCATTGTTCAATTTCGTCGATCTCCTCCTTGTCCTCGTCGTTCTCCTCAATGTCATTGTTCTCGATGTGGTGTCCCTCGAACTCCGTGAGAAAGTTGACCTGGGTCTTCTTCTTGTCAGCTCCCAATTCAGCAGCTGACAGGCGGGTTTCATTCTTCCTCAACCAACTCTTGATGGAGCTTGGCTTGATGCATCCATGAGTGTAGTTCAGCATGGCCTTGGTCTCGGTCTCGGTGAGCTGAAGGCCGTTGATCATCAAGAAGCCCTCATACTCTTCAGGGAGGGTGATCTTGTGCTGGTGTGCCTTGCGAATGGCGCCATCCCACTTCGCAAAGTACTCTCGCCAGGTCTCATTCCGCTGGCGCCTCAAGTGGTAGGTGATCCTGGACATAGCGGTGTTCTTGTTGGTCGTCTCCATACTTCTCTGGGGTGTCCATGTCGTTGAGAAGCCGCTCAGCGCCATAAGGATCAGCCATCCATTCTGGGTCTTTTGCCCAGTGTTTGTAGTGCTCGAACGGGGCGCCACTCAACATCTTCAAAAGTAGGGGACCGCGGGAGCGGCCCTTGGCCTTGGTCGTGGCGATCCATAGCTTTGCCTTGATGAAGTAGTCCTCGAAGGGTGTTACTCCGTCCCACGATGGTGGTGGTCCAGCCGACCCCCGGCCGTCGCCACCTCCATCTTCTTCTTCTTCCTCGTCGTCTCGCTGACGACGTCGTCCACGTAGACCGCGCCCTTCTTGCTCCCTTTCCAGACGAAGGAACCTCTGGAACCGAAGAAAGGCTTCGCGGTCCGTCCCCATGCCATCGGGCGCACCGGGTGAACCTGCGGCTGGCGATCCTCCTACGGGTTCATCTAGATCGCCATCCGATGGCGGGACGGCCTGAGTTTGTCCGGCCATCCCAAAAGCCACAACTCCAAGCGGGGGCTAAGTGTCCCACCAAAAAGGGAGTCGACCCCAAACCCCAAACCAAAAAGGGTGAAGGAGACCCGGACGTTACCGGGCTCCGCTACCACTGTGAATCCCAAAAACCGCAGCAAGCCGCCAAGCAAGAACGGACTCCCTTTTCAGCGGACACGTAACCCCCATTTGGAGTACAGGTTCCTAGCTTGGTCTTGGGTCGAGCGATGCCGGTGTATCACAATTTCACAGATTCACTGGGTTTGCATAGAAGTGATCAAGCGGCTGCACGTGCAAATGAATAATGCTTGTAATTAACTTATATAGTTCCCTAAAACTCTAGGAGCCAAAGCATTAGTGCGAGCGCTTCTTCAAGGAAGCGTGAGCTATCCTGTGTCCTACCTAGAAGCTAGCTTAGTCTAGTAGCTACCTCTTCTACCCTGTGCGCGGCCTACCACCCCGGGTAGGTTTTACAAAGAAACTACCCAAAGTAAAAGCGGGCCAAACAACAAAGTGTTCTGGGTAAACTGTTCTTCCAAGTCTCTCAGGTCCAGTGAAGGAGGCCATAAGCTCGTGGCGTGTTGGTGGTGCGCATGTGAATTCAGATTTGCACACATTGCACGTCTGATGCCTCGATCCACACATCACGTTGCCTTTAATGCCTTTTCAGGTCTTTGCGTGTTTGTTCTTCACACTCCGTGGCCTGAGGTCCCTGTCGTAAAAGGCTGGGTGGGTTGGCCTAAGTGAAACTAGCCAACTGTTATGAGCGACCACTTTTCAACACTCCACTCGAGACTGAGAATGTATGTATTGTCGAAGAGCCCCTTCCTAATGCAGCAAGCATTGTTGAACTTCCAAGCGACTGGGTTACCAAGACCATCCTCTGCCACTGACGAAGGCATTTCAAGTGTACAAATTTCCTTAGGATGTTTACACTAAGAAGGACTTCAGAGGCCAGAACACAGAAAACATGAATCTTTTCAAAAGGTCTAATGTTCGATAACAAGCTGTGAAACATTGTCAAGTTTCTGACCACCCGCACACTTGCAAGGTGAGATGAGCTCCCCATCCTCAGTGCCTTCATTGTGAAAGAAGAGAAGACCGTGGCAGTGCTGGAAGTTGCTACCCAAAATACAGCTTGCCATAAATCCAAGGACGTTTGGGTTAATCTAGTCCGCATGCCTCCATTCTTGTACTTAGCGCTCCAGATGAAAAGCAAAGAGCTGTAATCGCAAAAATTTTGCCACAAAAGACTAAAAGCTGCTGGGATTGTGGAGCAAGGCCCACCTCCAAAGCAGTACCGACATATGATCTCCTCCTCCTTGTATTTCAACGTCTCCAACGGATGACAGCCATGCAAAAAACAGGTAACACACAACATGTTTGTTTGTTGCCGCAGGGACATTGGAGACACCATTCATCATACTATATAGCTGCTCTTTTTTCTGGAACCGGTATGCACAATAGCAAGACACCCGGTGATTGTGCTCTGGAGATCCCTGTCCGGGTCACTCAAGGCAACCGCAAAAAGCAAGTGGGAAACGCATCAACGAGTTCCCGAATCCGACAAGAAGTTGCAAACGTGCTAGCAAAAAGAAACACAAGCATGGGAAACAGCTTGGATACCAAAGCAGGTTCTGATAAGAATTGTATACGCGTGCCCCCAAGTGGCTACATAATATGTCGAAAATCATGCGGTGCTGTTGGTGGTGACTGCTGGCAACTGCATAAATGGCATTGGGTAAGGGCCCTGGCAAATTTCCAATTCGAGTAATTCGCGCAAAAATCTGCCAGCTCAAGAACAGACCGATGTAAGAAAGACCCCACCAGGCAAGAATCATTTGCTGCGAATTGGCTTGAGCAACTGTTCAGAACATGCATCAGCCCTTACCTGGAATTGCAGAACCGCAGAACCTCTGACAAAGCCAAAGACTGGGTTGGGTGCCCAAAACTACCTTGAACCTAAGTTGGCAAGAACATATATTGAGTAAAGCGTTGCTGATCGTCGGGGACCACGTTACAATGCAGCGATCCGACCAGTCTGGTGAAGAGCACAAGCTCCCAAAAAATTAAAGATATGTTGACTCTCCTCTCCTCCACGGCAGCCATCTCAGGATTCACAGCCATGTCACGTAAATTTTTGGGACACCGGGCAACAACAACAAAACAGTGACAAGCATAACGTAGGGTGACATTGCACGCATTGCTAAAACCCAAGCCCAGGTGCGTCCACCCTACCTCTACCAGGTTTGGCAAGTTTGGTCGAACTCGTCTTGAAACAGCGCTTCGCGCTCGAAGCCCCCCGCACGGAGTGTGTGCGTCTGTCTGTCTCTGTCTGTCTGTCTCGGTCTGTTTGTCTCGGTCGGTCTGTCTCGGTCTGTCAGTCAGTCAGTCAGTCAGTCAGTCAGTCTGTCTGTCTGTCTGTCTGTCTGGGTCGGGCAGGACACACGGACGAACACAACTATGATGTCGATAATGCCAAATGCAGTATCCCCCGGGCTGCGTATTTGGCATCGCGAGCGTTTAGCTCCGAAAGCATATCAATGCTTCTCCATCTTCAAAAACCTTAAAAAAAACTCACAAAACCACCATTTCATTTCCAGAACATGGAGGGGCCACAAGCTCAGCCATCCACAACGCCTCGGCACCTTCGGTGTGGGCGGATTTTATGTTGAGATGCCATCACACATGTGACAATATATCTTGCCAAACCTGAGCATGCCAGGTTACTTTGTACAAAGGCAGCACTGCTTTGTGCTAAGTCTGAGTCACGAAACAGCACATCGGACGGCCGGCTTGAGTTTCAGTGTTGCAAAAGTGAAACCGGAAACTGCTTTCAGTTGACCATGGTTGACCGTTGAACTGGTGCACAGAAAAAGAATTGCCAAACAACTGGAATGCTTATCAAGGAAAGTGGGATCCACATTCATGAACCAGCTGGTGTTTTGGCAGCATCTTCTCATTGTGAAGACTAGTTGTTTTGCGACCTGATTAGAACACGTTCCCTTCTTGTACGTGTGTACTTTCAAGGGTTGTGTCTCAATTCAGATAAAGACTTTTTCACAAAAGCTTGCTACCTTATCCTGCAGCTCTGGACACTGCTCATCTCACGCCCTACAATCTTTGCCAACCTGAAAAGCTCAGCAATGTGTAGCCTGTTGACTCTCACTGGTCTTGCTGATAGAATGTGCGCGGGAGAATGCTGCCGGCCCTCTTTTTTCTGAAGATGCCATGGCTTTGGCAAAGGCTTCGTAGCCAGCAGCAACAATTTCTTGTGAGTTCTCCAAACCCAAGACCTTCCTGCATTTTGGCGATAGGACATGTTTTTTCAAGTAGTTGTCAGCCACAAAAGGGGGAGAGTCAGCTTCAATATGCGGAAGCAGGGGAGTCAAAGGATGGTCGTCTGTGCAGCGCGACAGCAACTGCCTTCTCCAACAAGGGTACGGGACTCTTCGAGGCTCGAGGTGCAAGCATTGCATAAGAGCTGACAGGGTGTAAGTGCCACATAGATTGTACGTGTCATTCTTGCGGTGCTCAAAAAGTGTGTAAGCTGCCTTACAGAAAAGGTCAACATTCATGCCATCCATCAAGTCGTCATCATCCCAAATAAGACCGTCTCTGATGATTGCCTTCACGAGCTGAACGTATGCATCAGAGGATTTGTGTGCCCCAGTCACAGAATGCCAAACAATCGTGCCCGCTCGCACCACCACAGCCCGAATATTAAGTTTTCGGATTAAGAATTCCGAGGCAATTTTCGAGACCATGTAGGGGTTTGCACACTCCTCAAGCCACTCAAGGTGAGGTTCTTCTTCAGGGAAAGTAACACCGCTTCCTACAAAGAGCAGTGCCTTAGGCTTGCCACTAATACAAAGTCTGGCAAGGTTTAGAATACTCAGGACATTTGCCTCTCGTACACTTGAATAAGAGGCATTCCAATTCACAATAGCCGCACAGTGAACAATCACGTCAGATTGCAAGCAATCAGAGTAAACCTGGTCATTCATGCCCAACTGCGGCTTGCTGATATCATGACCCAAAGAAGATGCCACAGGAATGACTGTCAGGCCTCTGTCTTGTAAAAGCCTCACAAAGTGCGAACCAATTTGCCCAGTAGCTCCAGTAACTACCGCCCTTCGCCATGGTCCTTCCCATGCAGTTTCGCCTGCCGTGTCAAAACTATCGAATTGAGAAGGGTTGGGAATGCCGCTGCTTGTGTTCCATCGCTGAATCGAGGTATGAATGTCTGCAAGTGCAAATCTCACCATTCCATCGCTGGCAATACAATAATTGAGGTCTCGCAACGTTGACGCCCCGGAAATGAGATAAGCAGGAATTCCTAGCATTGAGGCTATCCTGGCGACATGGACAGATGTTACACCATATTCTTGAAGGGGCCGAGTGTCATCAATTCCACTCACGCTGAATGAAGCAACCGAGGAGAGTATCTCATGCACCTTGCTGTTTCTTTCCTCAATCAGCGCACGGAGTTCGGCCTCATGCTTGGCCAATATATTCCGCCGACAAAGTTTTAAGGACGGTGTGAGCATTCCGTTCTCAACCGTAAACTTCTCGTGAGCAAGAATGCAAGGAATCCACAAGGGTGGTGGCATTTCTTGGCTGGGTATGTGAACAACAGCAGCTAGGGAGCCAAGGATTTCAAGAGTACAGACTTGCTCTACATCAGCCATCTCTGCTTGCAATGTTTGCATAATTTGCTTGTCTATAAAGTCCAAAGATTCCAATTTGCCATTTGAAAGTTTTACCATGTTTGACAATCGTCCGATAACGCGAATCTCCCCGAGCTCTGTCTTCTCAGCAATATCGCCTGTTCTGTAGTAACCATCCTCAGTCAGTACACCTTCCTGCTGAAACTGTTGGCCATAGTAGCCCTCAAATGCATCAGCCTGGATGCAAACTTCTCCTTGCGGAGAAAAAATGCCTTGCTCAGGGATTTCCACCAACTTAACCTCACCCTGTTGTTTGCCATTCAAAGCAATACAACCAACTTCTGTTGCACCATAGTTGTCAAATACCATTATCTTTTTCCCGAAGACCTTCTCCAAGAAACTGAAAAGCCCCGGTTCACAGCTTGCTGATGAAGTGGACACAGTGTGGAGGTTTTGAAGCAGTCTGCCCATGTTTCGCTGCAGGGTGTCAAAATCAAAAACACCTCGATTCAGGAGTGCACTTCGAATTTCTGACCAAACAGCAGGAGGTGCAGCAATCTCTGTGGGCGACAGGGCTTCAAGTGAATCCAACAACTCTAGATGAACATCTGCCAGTGCAGTTTGACCCCCGCAAGCAAGATTCCACCACAACTCAGTGCGTGCGGCAGAATGTGCGAAAGATGTAAAGTTCAATGTTATACACAAATGGCCTCCAAATTGAGCGGTGTCTCTCACAGTGTCCAGCCACGATCCTCTAGTACGACGCACAAGTTTTGGAGTACCAGTGGATCCAGAAGTTGCAAAAAGAGAAAATAAAACGTCCTTGTCACCTCCAGTCCACAACAACTCTTCAAAGTCAAAGTTCGCCTGACTTGGATTCACCTTCTCTTTAATAGGTCCGCTTATGATTTCGCATCTCTCCTCGCCAAGAGCTGAAACTATCTCACGTGCATGTTCTGCTCCCTGAGCAATCACGGAACAAGTTCCAAGCAGGGCAGCTGCCAAGTCAAATGCAATCAGTTCTAGGCAATTCTGGGGAAATGCCGCCACCAAGAAACGATTGATTTCTATGCTTTCTGAGCCTCTCAAGAATCGAATGTAGGAGATTACACGCTTCTTCACTTGAGCATACGACACCCAGTTCCACTGAGCACAACCTCCCGTTGGTGTTCCCAAGCATGGCCTGTCACTGTACACGGTGAATAAGCTCACCAGCAAGGAACACAGCGTATCCTCCGATACATGACCCTCTGTATTGAAATGCACTTGGTCGTGAGCATCATGTCGAGGGCTAGCCCGCACAAAGTATTCACTACATTGGATGCAAAATTTATCTTGCAAATTTTTTTCGGGTTCCATGGCTCAATTAAGCATAGGCCATCCGTTGAATTTGAGTAATGTCCCAGCTGTGAAATTCCAACGTCTTTCTTCAAAGCCAATCACGAACAGTCTTCAACAGAAAACATGCAAAACATGCACCCTGACAAATCTTGAAAATTTGGCATGTCATCTGCATAAGAATCGGTTCATCCTAAATGGTTGGAGTGCTGCACTCATGGAAGCTGTCTTGAATGAACAAATTGCTACACTATTATTGCCGCACCAGTAAGGGCGCAGAATCTGTGGAGAGTCAACCCCACCGTCGAAATCGGTTGGGTTTGGCTATTGTTTGCTTGTTGCGCTTGCTGACGCAAAAATACACGTGTTGCTTCGTCAAAAATACGTTGAAACATTGAAAAAACCTGAGTTGTCCACAGCTCACAAGAATAATGCATGTTGGGTAAGTTGTTGGAGAAAGACATCACAACTTAGGGAAACAAGGTGAGCCCACGGGCCCAAAAGCAAAAAGAAGCGCGCAACCCAGGAAAAACAAACAAAGACACATTAGCAGGCCAAAACGAAGCATCAGCCCCCTCCAGGCTTCGTGGCAACCATGAGATTCAAGCATCGCGGTTCTGGTGCGCATCCGTCACCCCCCGTCTGCCATATACACCCCGTCCACCCCTTGGTCAGTTTTGAAAGCCCTCCAAAACGGTCATCAAACGATTGCAACATGGCTTCTAACAAACCTTCCAAGAAGCCCGCATTTTCTTCTTGTCACTAAATGCGTTCAGTTTGTTGAGGAAGGTCGGATCCCCGGTAAGCCACCGGACTGCTTGGGCCCATTTTGTTGCGCGATATGGCTTTTTGTGGGCCCGTTGATACGGCCTGTCTGTTTGTTGCATTTCTGGGTAGCCTTGGGCAAAATAAGTCCGCAGCCGCCAGGTCTCCATGGCAGCACGCTGCCATGTAGGAGAGAGAAGGCGCCATCCAGCTCTGAGGATTGCAGTATCCAGGCCCGTTGTAAGCCAGTTGGCAATGAGGTTACAATCATACTGAATGTTGCCCATGGCATAGGTCCGCGCAGCCCCTTGGAGCAGAAGATAGCGGAAGAGAAACCGTCCGTGGCCCTCTGGGACTATGTACGTTTCATCTTCCGCCGTTGCTTCCTCATCCGACACTGGTTTTTTGCACGTGTCGAGGCGCTATGTGTGCAGGTTATGCACAAGTCACCTTGGGCTAGTAAAAGAAGGAGAAGTGAACCGGCCAACAAAACAGGCAAACAACCAATCCTCATCCTCATCCGACACTGGTTCTT